TTGCCAGAGTGGTAGAATCAAATTCAACTAGTAAAATTAAAAAACTGGGGCAAAATTCTGAGAAAGAAAGTAAAAAGAAGGAGAGGGAAATTCGGGAAAAAATAGAACTGAGATTCAGTATGATGAAAAAAACAAAAGAGAATGCTCCAAAGCCTTCTAAATAGACTGTATAATAAGGTTACAATTGATAGAATACTGGTAGGAGAAAATTCTAGAGTCTATAATCTAGAATTAATTAATGATAAAGAAGGTGTAAAATGACAAGTAACTTTTCATTTTGAAAAACAATTTAAAAGAGGAAACTAAAAATTTAAGGAAATAAAAGCAGAGTGGAAGGAAGAATATAAGCCAAAAAAAGAAATTAACCCTGGATTATATATAGGGATTACAGCTCCCTTCACATTAGAAGAATAGATACTAGCCTTGAGTAAAACTAGAAATGATACAGCACCTGGAATCTCAAATATTGGGTATATTTTTTTTAAGAAATTATCAACCAAAGTGATTGAGAGAATATTAAGGTTGATTCTTGAACAAAGCAAGATCACAGACAAGTGGAAACTCAGGCAAATATATCTAATCCCAAAAAATAGCTCCTGGGAATACAATCTGAGCAACACAAGACCTATAGTATTACTAGAAACATGTAAAAAAATTCTAACACAAATGCTTCAGTTAAGGTTGGATAAAGTTCTAAGCAAAAATAGTATATTGAAGGGAGCAAACTTCGCAAACCTGTCTGGAGAAAGTACATCAACCTCTATATATATAATGAATAATATAATAGAAGAAGCTATAGAAAAGAAAAAGGAGCTATGGGTTATGTTTCAAGATATGAAAAAAGCCTTTGATTCAGTTAGTATGGTTTTATTAAATAAAGCTTTAGAAAGAATTAAAATGCCAGCAAAAATAATTGAGATAATATTAGAGTTATATAAGAACAGACAGCTTAGCATTATGACAAAGTTTGGAAATATGAATTTCATAAAAGCAGGAAATGGTATAGATCAAGGGGAGATACTTTCCCCTTTGGTTTGGAGAATTTTTTACGATCTTTTGTTATATAGAGTACAAAGAGCCAAACTTAGTTATGAAATGCAAAACATAAACCCTTTATGAAATCAGGGGACAATAACATTAGAGTTGGTGTATTGGCTTACACAGATGACACAACTTGGTTAACAGATAGTCAAGAAAATATGCAGAGTATGATTGATATCGCACAAGAATTTTACAAGCTAATTGACATTGAAATAAATCCCAACAAAACTGAACTCATAGTGCTCAAATCAGGTAGAAGAAATCATTTAAAAGATCTGTCAATCTGGATGGGAAATCCAAGGACCAAGATTATAGCGAAAGATTTCAAAGAAACTACAAAATTTTTAAGGGTTTGGATGTCAATCAAAAATTAGAAGAGGTTAGACGTTTTCAAAGCAAGAAGTATAATAGGCAAGATCTCAGACCTATTAAAACACAAACAAATGTCTCTTAGTCAGATTATATATGTGAATAATGCAATTCTAATACCCACCTTGGAGTATAGACTAATAGTTTTATGCTTTACTAAGGCACAATGTAAGAGAATACATCAGCCAATGATTCATTTAATCAAATGGAAATGTCGATGCCTTCCACAACAGCCAATATAATAACAAAACATCCAGAGACAACAGCCCTTAAAAGTCTTTAGAATAGACATATGGAGTATTATATATCAGAGTTGCTAGTTAGACTAAACACACCAGGTCTTTTAGAAGAATTGATAACAAGAAGGCTCAAGCAAGATCAGCTAAGAGCAGGTTCAATGAAGTATATCTTAACAAATCAAACTATACTAAAAAAGAGAGAAATAAAAAGTCATAATCTGGGGTTAAACATTCTGCATCAAGCACATACTTTGGGCTTCATTATAGAAGAAAATGAGGTTACAAGAAGCTGGAATTTAGATCTCATACAAACAGCGAATGATAAAGAGATTGCAAGTGTCCTCGAATGCTTGAATATGGCTTATTTGAAGACAAAAGCAAGTGGCCTGGGCTTAATAGTAGTATTACAACTTATTGCAAAAGATGGTGAAACAATGCATACATGAGATCAATTTAGATTAGCACATGGTATGAGTTTAAAAGAGAAAAAACCAGGCTGGTTCGCTAAATTAGAGAAAGAGATCTTAGAAGACCCCAGGTCAAGAAACGTCAAAAACAGATACAAATGTGAAACAAACAATGGTAATACTTCTAACTTTGAGATAAAAGAAGTAAGCAATGACAAAAGAGCAAGAGAATGGGTTTGTTGGAGAGAGGATACAAACGAACTTATTTATACAGGGAAAATCAAAGAAAAAAGAAAACGCATATATAGAAGTTGAAAAATATAGAGAAACAATAGAGTGTCAGGAAGATGAATTTTAAGACAAGTAAAACATACATGGTTAAATGTAGAAAACTTGAAGATATTTCAAACATAGTTCAGAGAACAGAAAAAGGTACAAGGTTAATATTTGAAAAACAATATATAGAAAAGACAATTGAAAAAAGGAGAAAAAATATTTAGTTAAGGCAAAAGATTTAAAAAAAAATAAAAGAGGATGTTAATATAGAGATAGAGTGTGAATGTTGGGAAGTAGTTTTAATCAATAGAATAGTTAAAAGTGCCGTAATTAGAAGTAGAATATTAGAGAGTTTAGAGCAAAATAGAGGGTTAGATAGTTTATTTTTTTATACTGATGGCTCACTCAGACCTGCGGAGGATAAAGAAAAATTGGTAATGGGTTGTGGGGCAATCCAAATCACAAAATCAGGACACATATTGCGCCAAATTTCATGTGTAATGAAGAAATAGTTTTCATCTACAAGAGCAGAGATGGTGGCAATTCTTCTCGCTTTACTTGTAGAAGAAGTGTAGAGATTAGAACAGATAGTATGGCAGCAATCTTAGCAATTGAAAAAGGCCTAAAAATGAACAAGATAAGACCTTGGCTAAAGACTAAGAATAGTGGTCTGTCAACAACAATTGTAGAGCTAATCAAGACAAAGAAGTTAAATACATGCTTTATCAAGATCAAGAGTCACTTAGGTGATATTTTTAATGAGCTAGCAGACTTAAAAGTAAATAAGTTAACAGAGTACCTAACTCCAGAACCACTATATGCAAAAGATCGCAAGATAAGATACATGTGGGAAGGTGAACTAGTTGAAAAGCCAATCTGTTCTTTTGTCAAAATGATAGGGAGAGTATTAATTAAGGCAAAGTGGACTTTCTTATATAATACGCAAAATGAAACACATCAAGAAAGAAAATATACTCAATCATGAACTATCTTGCGCAATATAATGAGGAGTGAAACCAAGCAATGTAATCACACCTTCAAGTCAAATACACTACAGCTCTTTGAAATAAAGTGTATAAACAATATGCTTCCAGTGCTTGAGAAACTCAATCAAAGAAGACCCAAAACTTACAAGATGGACAAATGTGTCATATATAAAAAAAAGAAAGAAAATGTAGAACACTTGGTGAGTTGTGAGCGATCTTTAAACCTACTTCATATGTTAAAGGAGCAAGTAGTAGAAGCAACCCTGCATGAATTAAAAAATGTAGAGAGCTTGGAGGAAATTAAAAAAGAAATTCTAATAATGCTAGGAAAAGAATCCCAAGTTGATGAAATGCGCAAAAGAGAAAGATGGATTAGAGGCTTAATTACAAAAGAAAACTTCGAAGAATTGAGATCTCTTTTCGACTCAAACAACCAAACAAAGCGATTTTTAGGAGGTCTTTGGAAGAACTGGATGAAAGAAGTATACAAGAGAATTTGGGTTCCAAGATACAAATTAGTACAGGAATGGGAGAAGGAAAATGGAATTGCACCAAAAGATAAAAGAAGATTTCATGAAAAAACAAGAAAGAAGAAAAAGAAGAATAAAGAACTACCAGACGGACATATTATTAAATGAAAGAAAGATAAAAATGAGAGTAAAAAGTGGTTGTCAGTTCTAGAAATAACCAAGAAAGAGGTGATGAGGTGGATTGTAGATGGACAATGGTCAGATTGGTGGAAAACTGATATATAGTCTTATAAGAACTAGCTGTTGACATATTATCGAAGCCAATTGCAAGATAAGGTAATACAGAGGCAATTCTTACTATAGCAGGTCAAATATAGGTACTCAATGAGCAACCAGGTGAGTTTTCATTTGTAATTTAGGTACTGGGGAGAATAACTCTCCAGAAAATTTTAATAGTTTAGATAATTATTACAAAGCCTAATAAAGTGAAGGCAAGACTGCCAAATTTTTTTTAAAAAATATATATATATACAAAATCTTAATTATTTTGGAATTCTGTGATTGGATTTTGATGATTTTGAATTTATTAGAACAATCTTGTTGAGACTAACATTTTGGTAATAAAATTATTCAAAATAAATTAGTATATCAAAAGTTATTGGCAATTCTATAAATTAGCCTATATGTTTGTAATTTGAGCTTTTTCCTTATAATTTGTATTACATTCTAATATAGAAATTTCTTTAGTTGAGTAACAAATTATCAATTAATAATAAAGTAAACAGAGAAAAAAATCTTTTTTTTACAAAAAAAAAATCAAAAAAAACTCTTCAAAATTTTGTTTAAGATAAACCTTTATAAATTCACTTAAAACAGAATTTGGTTTAAAATAAACCACTTAAAGATAGAATTGGGTTAAACTAAATTACTTTTAATTAAAATAAACCAACTTGAACCAAAATTTGGTTTAAGATGAACTAGTTTCACCATAATTTCATATATTTTAATTTTGATTGGGTAGTTAGGTTACGCAAATCACGTGATCAAAATTTAATAGCAAGTCCCTAAATTTATTATTGTTAAAATTGAATTCATTAACTCATATTTAATTTTATAATTACTTCAGGATTTTTTACATAAACAAAAGTTAATTATTTTTGTTAACTACAAGAAAAACGAATAATTGACAATCTAAAATAAAAGTTTATAGATTTAATCTAAATCCATTGAATGATCTGCCTCTATCGGATGATCTAATTCCATTGGATGATCTGAAATTGAGATTTGCTTAACCGTATGAAGTGATTGTTGATACTCCTAGTATTTAAAAAAATATTAAGTTTAAAAGATTAAGTATAAATGAATTTTCATAACGATGAATTTATTACCTTAATTATGTTATTAGCAAATTCATAAGCTTCAAATGTATTTTCTATCATCAATGAATCTGGGAAAACATCATCTAATAACTCTTCAGCTACACTGTCGAGCCATAAATTTAAACTCATGTCGTTAACATAAATATATAATGGATCAGTTGCTTTAATATTATTATCTGTGCATAAGAATCTCTGCATATATCTCTTAAGAGCAATAACAAATGCTTCGGCAGGTATTTTTTGGTTTTGTTCACCAGTATTCGGTTCAAGATCAATGGCCTCTAATATTTGATTTTTCATGTCTTCATCGAGTGATTTCTTATATTTAACATTAAGGTATTTAATATCTTCGTTTGCAACTTGGTTTTCAACTAATTCGTATAAGGAGACTATATGCTTTAGTTTGAGCTCAAGGTTTAAGATATGTTGAAAACCAATGTTATCCATCAAGTTTGATAATTTCAACCATTGATTTACAAAGTCTTTTATGTAAGTTTCTCCATTATCAGCTGAGATCCTTTTAATGAAACATAAAAATATTTCTAAGAATGAAAGTAATTCTGTTGCATTTTCAATAGAATATTTTGCTAAAATATTTGCATTTTTAAATGGATTTGTAGCTAAAGATGTTGATGAAGAGGATCCAAAGATCAATGAGATCTTGTCACTAGGAATAGGTTCCTGAGGAATTAATTCTTTAATTTCACCTAGAATTCTCATTGAGCTTTGGAATAGTTCTAAATGATACGGGAACTGATCCATTAATAATTGGTCACCATTTCTTTCAATATATACTTTTCCTGAGACTAAATTTTGAGCAAGTTCCATTTCTATAACTTGAAGATCGAAAATTATGTCTTCACCGTGCCCAATTTCAAGGTTATGTTGACTGTACCGAAGGACCTTATTATCCCATTCATAGTCAATAATGCTTGATCGCTTAATTGAGTCCAAACGTTTTGTCGGTATATGGTAAGGATTTGTGAGTTTTGTGACTCTAACTTGGGTTGAAGTAACAATTTCTTCACATACCCAAGGAGTAGCTTCTTCTAAGAATTTTAGAGAGAGACAAGATCTTTCGGGAATTGTTATAACGTCCTCCAAGAAATTATTATGTATATTGACCAAATAATCAATAATTGCGCACAAGAAAACTCCAGAATCCCTAGCCTCCATTAAACCGAACGTCACTGAATCATTAATTGTAATCCGTGGTTGTCTGGGTAGGTCATGACATTGATATCGAGTAACGTTGCCAATAACCGCATTCCAAGCGTTAGCAAACTCTTCGAAAGCAGTATTTAGAGTCATGCAAGTATCAAACATTGTTTCATTCTTAGATTCATTAATAAAGTCTTTGAATGTAAAAGAAACAGCTTTGTCTCTTTGCAATCTATAGGCAAGTTTTGAATGCAATAATTTAACAAAATTGACAATAGGATAAAGATGCTTAATTTGTGACAAATTCTTTTCATGTTTAAAGTAAACTGCCAAGAATGGAAATGCTTGAACGTTATGCATATCTCTAGAATAATAAGCAGCAAGACTTTCAAAGCAAACTGTTCCGAGAGTTCTCCACAATCCAGGAAGATATTCTTTACAATGTTGTGAAGACATGTCTAGTGTTTGATTAACTTCGGTCTCAAGAATGTTACTAGATACCTCTGCCACCTTCATTGCATTACTTAACAAAGTACTAAATTTTCTAGTGGTTTCGGTGACATTATTTATTAGTGGTGTGACATAATTTCGAGCAAAGTTTGTCTCCCAATTTTGTCTGTCAGCCGATTTAGTTAAATTGCTTGGTTTAGAGTAATCTGGTTTATCGATCATCTCAACTGCTATAGAATGGAACAATAGTGCCAAATTCTCATCAGAAATATTAAGAATTTTTTTTAGAGTGTCCCAATCATTTTTAATATGCTCCATACAATAGTTGGTAATATCCCCATAAGTATTGCCATTTTGTTTAAAGAAGTTATTTGTGGACTCTGATGGTGTTGAAGCTAAGATAAGAGTATGAACAATCAAATGTAAAATCCGATATGAAGATGGACTCATTGCTCGTATAGAATAACTTGGTGAAGGTTCGGATTTTTCTGGAATATATCCGGCTTGATCGTTTGATGACATTGCTGTAAAGTTATGAGTATCAAGTCGTGTGTTTCCAGGTGCGGTAACATGGTTAGTTCCACCTAACAAAGTGGGAATTTTTTGATAAATATTAAAATAAATAATAAAAATAAAATAAAAATGGAAGTAACTATAAAATAGAAGAAATTGCCAGAACGCATGATTATCATGTGTCCATATGCTCGGGCAATTCTTTCTGCATCCTAAAGTGTCCGAAAAAACAGTTCTTTTGATTATTGAACTTACCAATCGTATTTCCGCATCCGGGGCATTTTGCTGTCATATAGGCTTGTCCGCAATTGCCTATTACATACTTAAAGCCACATTGACATTGATATCTATCACATAAACAACGATATTGTTATTATTAATTACTAAATAAGAAACATATCAGTTAAACCTTACCTCGATACACCTCCTGTCGCGACTGCATTGAATAAAGCAGATTCCTCGTCTGATTGGCATGTTAAAATAAACATAGCACCACATTTTTGTATTTCTTGCAAATAAGCAGTCAAAGGTGAAAAATCTGAATTCATGGAAGCATGTAATCCAACTATGTAGATAAGCACTGATTTCATGATTAAATCACTACTTGTAGTGTCAGTTCCAATCTTATATAAATCGTGGGTATTCAATAAAAGTTTGGTAACCATTTGTTTATAAGTATCTGGGAGATTATCCATTTCATTAATTTTTGATTTTAAATGCATTGATAATTGTCTTTCTACTTCATCCCATTCACGTGAAGCCCTGATAGCATGAAGTCTCATAACAATCAATCCGATCAGAGATAGCCTTGAATTCACTGATCCTGTTTTAACCTTTTCAAGGAAATCATCGATTTGTACTTGATTTCCAATTTGACGTAGATGAGCATATGCAATTTCGGTTTCTGAATATTCAGAAAGACGCCAATAAGGATTAATCGGAAATCTTGATGAATTACTAGATTCCCAATGGAAATTAATTAGCCAGGGCAGTTCATCAGGCCTTTTTTTACAAAATCTTTTAACTTCATCGAATGAATATCCACGTCTTCTTAAATCTCGAAGAAAATATATTCTTAACGAATATATTAATGAATGTTCTACTTTCAACGCCTCAATTAATTGATGTAAAAAGTCGTTACCATTAATTCCTTGGATACTATCAAGCTGATATGCGACCGAGTTATTTCCATCATTGATGACTACATCAAAAAACATTCTGACAAATTCTTTTAAAAATGCAACCGCTGAGATTCGCTGTAACGGATGTATTTCTCTTTCACATAATGTTCTTAAAGCGCAAAGAAAATAAGGTACTAATTTTTCTATAGTTAATTTTGCAAAGAAACAATGTTGAATTATATCACAACATAATGTGGCCATTTTTAAGTCAAGTTCTGAAATACATTTATCGATTTCTTGAAGCCTAGGATAAAAGGTAAGAATCCCTGGTTGACCTTTAAGAAGTTGAAAGAATATACCTTCGTGTACTATTCTTTCTGTTTCGAAGATTTTTTGAATAATTACACCCATAAGTGGGAATGGTTGATTTGTAAACAACCTTCGATAAAGCCAAATCCGTGTGTCTGATTCGAGAGGAATTATATCGAGGCATCTTTGAATGATCAATCGTTTAGACATTAGATTTCTTTCAGTTGGTTCAATTTCATCTAAAATATCGAATAATGCGTTCAAGATCTCTATTGTCAATACAGATGCTGAATTTTGTGCAAGAGAAATGAACCTTGAAATGCTATGTGGTCTGATTGAGCTGATGGAAAGTAAATCGTTACAAAATTGTAATAATTGAAGGGATTCCAATGTTGAAGTTTTCGGAATTTCTTTACTGAATGAAAGGATTTTAGTAGCTTCATATTTCCATTGATCAATTTCTTTTTGTTCAAAGGCTTCATTCATGTCTTTGTCTTTACTAATTTTAGCTAATAATATTCCTATAACTTCTTTAACCAGAGTTATTACATCACCGGATTTGTTTTGTAATTCTGGAGCTATTGTTGGACATATTTGAGCCAGCTGTAATTCCGCCATTATGGAATTTCCGTGAATCCACCAATAAGTATGTAAAATTATTGGATTCAAAACCTTTTCTTTTCCAAGTCTTCTTTCAAAAATTGATATCAATAATCTAGGATTTTTGTTACCAGGTTCATTACATGCTATAACTGAAACAAAATCTTTGAAATATAAATCTGGTGCTCGATCCAATGGTGATGTCTTTAATAAAGGAATTTCTGTTCTAATTTTATCTGTGAAATTTTTGAGATATTCATTAATTACAGAATCTTTGAGTTCACCTGATAGATTGTTAACGTTATTGGGGTTTTGAAACAGCATGTTAATTTCTTCCTGATAAATTGGTCTGAAATTATCAATTTGCTCCATAAAGTAATAAGAAAACGGAAATTGTAGGTCATATACTCCTGGAGGCATAGTATATAAATCCGGTGAAGGCTCTGAAATTTCTTCGATATTGATTATTTTTTTGTCATTAAACATTTCTAACCAAAAACTGAGTAAGTAATTATCTTCATCTGAAGTACTTGGCTTATCTATTGAGAAGAAAGTTTTGGTGGCTGCTAATCTTTCAAGTGCACAAAAAGCCCTGGCAATTGGTCTTCTAACAAATCCTTTGATATAAGCTTGTAATGCTGTCAAAAATGATGGATATCTGTATAATAATTTCTTATTGGATGCTACATCATATTGCCAGTTTTTAGAAGCTTTTTCTTGAAGCCATTGTTGGGTACATGCCTTTATACACCCCAACAAAATTGGATATTTGCAAATTTCCGAGCTCAGAACCCTAATAGATTGATAGTAAAAACATAATTTATACCAGAAATATAAGTACAAATAAAACGGTATCAAATAATTAATTTTAAAAAAGAAATATTTACTTGATATGTTCAATGGACTTTATATTCGAAGGATATTTCATGCACAACAAACACCATAATAATTCTTGTTTCAAAATATCCTCAAATTTATATGTAGTGTTAATAACATCATTCAAACTTCTATCCAAAAGTTCTGATAAAGATATTTCTTGCTGAGATAAAGTTTCAATAGTTATTTGATCCCATCCACACATGAAATTAAATGTTGCCAATGAATTTTCTTGCTCTCTATGAATATGCAGTATAATACATGAATGTTTCGTTTTCATATTTAATTCGGGCCTTGTATTCTTTTTAATAACATAATCGTTTCTAAATTGTTCAATTATAAATTTAGCTAATTTAATACATCCGGCACTTATCGTTGTAACATCACATTGGATAATCAACATTTCAGCTGCAGAATTTAACCAGAAATGTTTAACTCTGTTTTGAAGTTGTGCTTCCGTTTTGAATGTCGATAGTTTATCTACTTGACAACTAATTATATCTTTCAGACAAGCCTCTACATCTGTATTAATGTTAGAGAATGTATTAATGATGACCTGAAGCCCATCTAAATCACTCTCGATATTTAATCTTTCTAGAGAAGATTGAATATATGTGGCAAGATCATCATGACATTGGTCATTATAGTAAGTGTTTTTCCAAAACTTCATTTCATCGGCATCCAATCCAGATTTTTCTGCTCTTATAATTCCGTCACTCGAAGCAATTGCAATCAATTTTTCTTTACATTTTTGAAGAATATCTGCATCATCACTGTCTGGATATCTCTTAGTAATGTCAATCACTAAACTTTGTAATGTCTCATCAGGGTCAAATCCGATAAATAAATCCTTCTGTTTAAATTCCATTATTGGCATGGATGCATTAGAACCACCGAATACTTTTGACATTTGAGTTACCCAAGTAGATAATTGTTCAACTATCTGAATATTTTGAGGTGTTAGGATATTGTTGATTGTCATTTTTTGTTTTTCGAACCGATTTAGAAGTGGTGGGTCAGCTGTCTCGAGTTTCTTTTCATCAAGTACTAGAATACACCGAAATGTTTTATTGACAAAACTAAGAAATGCGTGAATATTATGTATTGGTTAATATTAGTATCATTCAGTAGATTGTAGAAAATGATAAAATAAATTATATTTTAATATATTATTTACAGCATAGGATTTGCGTATGCACCAAGTGCCACTCTAGTATAATATTTTGGATCGTCTGCACTACCCACAACAATATAGTTTTGATTCCACAGATCATAAAGACTTCCATAAATAATTTCCAGATCTGTCAGAATTAATGGTCTTCCAGCTTCAACACACATCTACAAAAGAATATATGTATCAACAAATGCAAACATCTATAATTGCATTAGAGTTAAGGCTTACCATAATTCTGCTTAACACACTATAAGAATAGTCATCTCGATCATCGGGGAATTGAGATCCCAAAATAATAACGGGATCCAAATTTATACTTCGCAACTGGTAAGTCAACAAGCTAACAATTGAATCACTTTTTCCAATAACCATAAGATGCCTTGCTCCTTCATCATCCAAATTAGCATTAATTAACTCTTCGACTGGAATAGGAGTATATTCCCAATTCTTAGCATCATTAGATAGTCTAAATACCTCTCCAAAATAATGTTCACATAATTTTTGTGTTTGTTCTGGATCTGTACCACCAAAATTTCGAACTAAGGATTTTTGAATATTTTGAGGCGTTAATTCTGCCAAGGATAATGATTTTACTAATGCATAGTAGTCACGAAGACCATGGAAATTAGGGAGTTGCTGCCCAGTTTGTTCGTATGATGAATAAGCATCTGCAAGTGGTTTAAGAGAGGAGCTTGTTATTTTAGAGCCGCCAGGATTGGTCTTTGAACCCAGTAGATTAACTGCTGTATCTATAAGATCATCCAAGTCGAATTTCGGTCTAACAGATATATTTATTTAATATCATTAATAAATTATCGCTAATATTTAAAACAGAAAAAAGACATGCAAACCTTTGAACCAATAGCGCTCTACTGCTCTTACTATTATCTAGTCTCCAGTTAGATATACCAATAAAAGCTACGGTAGGACCATCTGAAGGATAGCTTGGTTCAAGTAATGAATGAAGAACTTTCAACGGATTAAATGGACTTGTTTCGGCCAATCCAACTGTTTAAAAGAATTTGATTTAATCATAATCGCACATGATAAAAATATGTAAAGTAAATAGGAAAGTTTTGACATAATAATAAACATAATTGCTCTCATCAAGTGTAGGCTGTTAAATCTTTCTAAATCGAAATTAATTTTTGGTTCAAGTTCATATTTTACTTTATCTAAATGCTATATATTAAGTGAAGATCTCTACCCCCCTATTTAAGAAAAGGACATTCATTACCTTCATCCAGTAACACCACACTAATGATTTTAAATTCTTTTGAACTTGTGTTTTGATAATTAACAGCTTTCTCAAATACTTTGATGATACCATCAGATGTTGAAGATGTTGAGCCTTGATAAGGAATTAGATAAACCTATATAAATTATTAATTGTTATAAATTATTTTATACAGTTAATAAATTAATTGTAAACGTAAATACCTGCGGTAATTTCTGAAAGTATTTGTCGTTTGAATCTGAACCTTTTAGATTCTGACTCACAAGTCTTATTGCTAACGATTTCGAAGACCTGAATGGCAATACAATTAGAATATGTTTAGTCGTTCTTAATAATACGAAATACATATGTAGGATAACTTACCCAGGAGCACCAATAATAAATACAGGAATCTTTGTTAAAATACAAACTATCATCACCAAAACATTTTCTAAAAGCGCTTCATTATGTGCAGTATTCGGAGGACAAATCATTCTATTAATATAATCCTCTTGTTCTTGTCTAATTATAGTGCTAAACTTAGCCTCATCAAATTGAACTCCATTAGTAAGTAATAATCTAGCCATGTTTTCTCTATACGTTTGTCTAATGGACTGTTCATACATTCTACACTGATAACAGAGACCTAGTGACAAAACATAACATCTAATCGAAAGCTTAATTCCATCTGCTGGATTAGGATACGGAGGTGAATTTTTCCTTCGAATTGGAGGGCGATTTGTAAGATTTTCTGCAAAGAATTTTACTAGAGTTATTGCACGTTTTACGTCTCTTAGACTAACGCTATAAGGCTCTTCGATGTTTCTAATATATCGTTGAGATTCAGCCAATAATTTTGCAAATATTTTATTATCTTCATATTCCTCTAATGATTCAGAAACCATTATTTGAATATACTTTTCTTCCTCGAGAGCTTGAAGAATTCCATAATCCCAAACATAATCAAGAATTTGATCAGGCAATGGCTTGACTTGATAAACTAATTCATTTCTTTCCTCATATTTTATCTTTTGTTGCACCTTCAATCCCACATTACTCTGGCTTTTAGTACGTTTACGATAAGGATTACAAGCAGCAAAAATGCGAATATTATAGTGGACTTCTTTGCCTAACCATCTTCTATGAGCCACGAGCTCAGAAAGAAGACCCATGTGATTACAAGTGTTAATTTCATCAAAAAATATCCAAGTTTCTTTAATTTCAGCTTCACACTGAACCGCTGTCATGAAAGATTTTATTATTTCTTCGGAAATACCTGCGTGCAGGTTCAACACATGAAATTCGACTTCGACTACCCTGGCTAAAAATCCGATTAAACTTGTCTAAAATCAAATAAATTTTATGTAAAGAAAAACTTTTTTTAGTAAATGAATAAAACAAACTATCAAGTTAAAATTTATTTTGAACTTTATGAAGCTATGCAACCAAAGATTCATGACTACTGTAGTTTAAGTCACAAAGTTGTTTTATCTTAATCACTTAGAGGTGGCATGAATAAATAGCATTCCCTTTATTTATTGAATATAATTAAATTACCTTTCCACATCCTGCTTCACCACAAACGACAACCTAAATACAAAATCGGGATTAGGATAAAATTCGACAAATATGACAATTTCAATGATTTGAATAATAGTTTACCGGAATACTGGCACGAGCTCTTAATAAAATTAATGCCATCTTAATTAAATTATCCGCAGACAAAGCATATCGAGGATATTTAATTTCATATGTAGTCTTTCTTGCCAAACTTTCCACTTTATCCAACAAAAGACTCATGTCCATTGTATTATAATCTTCCAATTTAAAGTTTTTAGGATCACCACTAATACATTGACTCTGTAATAATTTTTTTACATTATCTGGAACTTGTTTGACATCACGATATAAAGAGCAAATAGAATCTGGTGCTTGAGATAAGAAAAACACTAATAAATGATTTGAATCTTTCCATTGAACGATAGTACCCAATCTATCATCATTTGAAGGTGTTACTGCTTCTAATTGAGCCGCTTTTGTCTTCACTGAACGTGTGGCAAAGTCTTTGGAGGCAGTAAGTAATGCATTGACTAAAGTTTTTCTAATGTCTTTTTCTTTAGTCATCAATTTTAAATTATCAACTCGAAAGTAGGAACTTAAAGATAATCCAATTAATTGATTTGCCAAAACATTAACAAAAATTTCTACAAATCTATATGATGAAATATCAGACTCATCTTTATCATCAAATAAATATTTTTTGATAAGTTCTCTACAACGACTTTCAGATAGTGGCAGCATGGCATCAGTGCCACTGGTATTGAACAAGAGATCTTTTTCTTCAATAGTTGTCTTTTCATCCGCTTCTAAATAATGACAAACGATTTGAATTGGATTATCAATTTCTTGAGATACAATAAGATTAGAAATATCCCAAGTTATATGTTCGCTGGAAAGACATTCAACAAATGGCAAAGATTTAAGTAAATATTGTCCAACAGTTGTTGCAACTTCAATGAAGATAGGAGTATTAGGAAGACAGACTATATCTGTATAATTAGAAACCATTCCTAAAGTTAACAATTCAAATAGGAATAGGTTAACGTCACCAGGATTATCTGTAGAAACTATATTTAAATGCAAACTTTCAATTGGTCTAATCTTGTGCTCTTTTAAACGCCTAACAAGTGTTCCAAAGTCAACTCCATCACTGATTAGAAAACTACGAGGAAGTTTCATTTTCTCAAAGCTAGTACTTTTAATCCACTCCGTTTTACCCTGGCCTGATAATTCTGATGATATACGCATAACATCTGGACACAGCTCTTGATATATCCCTTTCATAGCATCTACATCAAGTCCATTAGTTGCATGAATATCTTGAGAAAATTGATCCAATATATGATGTTGAACTTCGGATTCTCTGCAACATATAAGAGCCAATAGATATTTATCTTTAATATTTGTCATTCGACTCATTGATCTAATGTTGTTTACAAGATTATACTGTAATTCAAAATCTATTAATTCTAAATTAGCGATGCAGAATAAATGACCTTCATATCCGTTATCAGATGCAAAGAAACATCGTTTAGTGAAAATTGAAAGTTCTTCCATAGTTGTTGAAGAAGTACATATTAATATTTGCCAAGGCTGAGGATAAGCTTTATGATTGGCATACAATGACATTATAATATTTGGTACAAGAGATTTATTACTACATGCCGCCACAAATAATTTTCCAGGTTGAACAATATCCGATTTCACACGTTCACCCGTGTCTTTAATTTCTCGTATCTGCTTGGGAATATTTTCAAAAATATCTGCCAATTTAGATCCTATACTACAGAGATCATTATAATAATCATGAATACTAGCATGAGCATCGTCACTAATATCCATTTGTATTTGTGGTATTTGTGGTTGTGGTGGTGGTAATCGGGCAATACTGTTCACAAATGTTACAAGTATTTGACATTCTTCTTTGTTTGTGGCTTTATCTTTGGCATTGTCATTAAAAAAATCATGAAATGCCAAGATATGGCGTGCAGGGAAAAAAGTCAAATAATAATGCTCTTTTTGTGCTCTATCAACAATATCCTCCCTAGAATAGAATTTATAAAATTTATAAATTATAAAAAAAAATCTTATGAATATTAAAAGAATATAAATAATTTTAAGGTACCCTACCATTCAATCAGATGTTTATTTAGCTCATTTAACAATTTCTGCATATTTTCAGTTCCTTTAACACTTTTGTTAAAATCTCTATAATTAAAGTGACCTATTTGAATCAATTTTGAGGCAACATTTATGATCTCCTGTGCAAAATCTACTTGGATTACAAATTCATTCATTATTTTTTTAGCTCTTTCTTGTTGCTCATGCTCTTTTTCAGAAACTCCCATATCTATAATTACACCAGGCTTAGCTATTAACAGAGCGCGTCCTCTTAAGTCTTGCAAATCATTTAAAGTGTAAGGTTTTTCATTAGGTTCATCTCTATCATCCGTAGAATCAGAATTAATTGATAAAGAATTGATAGGATAAGACAAGGTAGCAGTACATTTATCATCGTTACTGATTCGTTTAAATGTATAAGTTCCAATCTTTACAGCATTAATAATTCTTTCTTGAGTAACCTCAGTTCTATTATTAATATTTTTATACATATTCTCTAGAGCTTTTCTATTACTATTACATAAAGTAATTTTTTGTCCCAACACTGGATTTTTGTCAGTGATCTCACAAAGTTTTTTCAAGAATGTCTTAGGTTTCAAAATTTCTACGTTCTTTAAAAGTGGTAATAAAAATTTTTTAACTTGAATTAATGAAGAAACTGTATCTTCTTGAATAAGACGTTCATCTGATTGATTATCCACACCATTAATTATATTAGTTATATCATGTTCAGCCACAGACTGAAGAAATCGAATAAATTCATCAGCAAGTGATAATGATTTAATTAATTCCCAACAATTTTCATTAACTGACGCTAAGGACCGATCATGATATTCAAAAAAGTCATTAAGTTTTCCAAGCCATAAATAGTTCTCACTTAGGAGTTTAAGTTGCGTTTCAATCCAATCTTCTTTCGTATGAGCTACCTTAAACATTGCTACCACCTCACTCAATTGTTGAAGTCTTTCAACATAAATAGGATATCTTGATACATAAGTTAAAGTTTTTATCAACCTTTCATTCGCTTTCAAATTCATTAAATCAAGTTCTGCTTTAACATCTTTAACATTATTCCAAAAAGTATTTTCTTCTGCGCAATGAAGGGTTTCCCAATCATTAGTTTTGTATTTTATAGTTTTTTCTTCATATATTTTGACAAGTGATGGTATAATATTTTGTGCCAAGTCTTCAATCTTAATTTCTTCATCACCATTAATCTTTTGGTTAAATATATTTCTGAATGTTTGAAGATTCGCTAATTTATAAGTTGATCTTGCAGCATTTTCAGTAAGTTTATGAAATTCCCAATGATTATCTGCTAAAGTTTCTTGAAGAGTTAAAGTGTCACATTTTGATCTTTGTTCCATATCATTAAGATAAATATCAACACCTTTAATTTTTTCAACCGGACAAAATTGAGTATAAAAATGATGAAATTGAGCTAATTTTTCTTCATAATTTCCACATTGAGTACGAAGTTTATTAATATCTCCCTGATTGACATTATTTGAATTAAAAAATCGAATTAACGTTTCATCCTCATATTTGAGAAGCTGTTGTAAAGATCGGATCGTAATAGAATTTCTTTTTACAATTTTAATAAATTCATTTATTATATTTTTAATTTGTCGAATGTATGGGTGCGCATTCAAATCAGAGACCTTTCCAGTTGCTTGTAATATAAAATTCCAGAACTTGGAAGAACGAAGGAGAGTTAAAGTAGTGGAAGTTATGTTTGAATCAGAAATGTCCGCTAATGGATGTAAAATTTTCAGCCTATCCATTATAAAACGTAAAATAGCCTCGCATGAACTATAAAATAAGCGATAAAATAAATAGTTAATAATTATGATAACAAACAAGATCATTACAATATATTAATAAAATGTTAATGCTTACGAATTAGGAATATTTAAAACATCCGAATTGCAATCACAAATCAGCCTAATTTTCTTGATTAAAGTGTCATCTGTATTTTTGACACTGAATCTTAAAATATCTTTAACCATTCGTAAAAATGATTGAATGATATCTTGTTGAAAGTCAATTTGACGAATCGCATTAAGAATTCTATCTTCTGGACATTGCTTAACTCTATCGATAGCTATACCTACCAATACGAACAAAATGTTCAAATGTCCTTCAATCTTTGGATATATTTTAGATAAATAAGAAAATACGGTATAGACATATTTATCTTTATTTTCATTAGTATGATCCAATATATGCTGATACCATTGGCCACAAATCACAGGAATCTTTTCCGATGACATTTCTTGTGGTTCGAATCGAAACCAATAACTTAGCAAATCTAAAAACATGGTCAATATGTTCCACTGATTTGATTGAGAAATTTCATGAAGTACTCCAAGTAATTCAGATTTATCCCAATTAAATTCAGGATATTTTAGAATTACAAGCATTTCCTCGGCGTCACGTTTACTCCAAGGGTGAGTTGGAGAGCTTATTAATTTAAAAGATTTATCACGAAATGCCACATCAACTTTTTCCCTAAAATGATCAGGAATCCTATCAAAATGTTTTTTTAAAGATTTTGCGTTTGTAAAATCCGAAATTAAATATTGAACGTGAGCAAGAAACGGTTTTTTAAGTAATCGGTCTCTTTCTTTCGTATGATCGATTACTTCTTCCCACACTTTAAACAATTGATCCATATCTTTACATAACCGAATCAACCACTATGTTAACAAATTATCAAATTGTAAAGATATAAAGACAAGTCAGATACGTACATAAAACCCAATATATATATATAAATTACATGTAAATGATAAAACTTACCGCACCAACTTTTGCATATACTTGTGGATCTTCAATCTTATTAGCATATGGGATAACATATTTAGGAAAATACTCAAACAATTCTTGTAAACTTATTTTTTTTCTTTCCATAATAGCATTAATAAAATTATATTCTGGATCCACAAGAGGCGCAAGTGCAAACATTCGCTTTAGCCATTGAATAGAGTTTTGATTCATATTATTACGAATCAATGCATGAAAAGCAATCATAATAAATTCAGGTGTATCTTGCAGCCAATTTTCGGGTAGAAATTTATCAAGACAATCAAGTAATTCCGACGAAGGAAAGTTAGAATGTAAATTGACATCACTTATAAAATTTGTTTGACGTAAATAAATATAGTAGCCTACAAGAATACATAAAAATACTCTTTTTTCTTTATCTTTAGTAGATTGCAAACAATCCACAATGAATTGTTGGTTTGCTGTACTCGCCGTATATTCCTGAAATTGTTCCAAGATGGTAAGGTATTCAAATAGTTTGTTTCTAGTATTAGTAGGTGTAAGTGATTGCCAGATAAAGTTCAAAAATTCGAAATCATGAACAACTCTAGTCCAATGTTCACTACCCGCAATTTTTATTTGATTCACAATATCAAATTGATTTTGTTCACTAAGTTGATTTCTCAAAATACGATGATTCCCTCCAATGGATTCACGATACATATCTCCACTAAGTTCACCTGAATCATCCAAATTCATCTTATCATCTCTGTCTTTATTTTTCTTCTTCTCCTGTCTCTTAGGAATATAGATAGCATAAAGATATCTTACTTCATCACCAGTTTGAAAATACGAAACCGGAATCGTAACCGGTTCCGAGACCCAATATGTACAGTAATTTCCATGTGTATGCTTATTAGAACGTTGTTTAAGCTTTACAATAGGAAATTCCCATTTTCCTAGTTCGTCAATATTTCCTATAACGCATGGGATGGCACTTTCGAAATGATTTTCAATATCAGGAGGTAGATACACGTGAAATACAACGTTAATTATTTCAGATGATAGAGTTTCTTCCGTTCCACGAAGTGCAGTTGATACATAAGCTCCAACTCGACTTAAAAGTCCAGGTTTCGTTGTACTAGATTGAAATGATGAACTTGAAGATTCAGTTGATTGATGATATGATTGTTGGTATGACTGATTCATCATGTAATCAAGATTCGCGGCTATCCCTTGATCACGATTATTAAAATCGATGCTACCATGAGTAAATAATAAAGATGCGCTACTAGTTGAATTATCTATCATGGAATGACTAGATTCAAAATCCATTTCATTTACAATATTTTTGTCACCATCATTGATTGATTCGATAACATCTGATGAGTTTTCATTCTCCATTTTTTTAATAATTGAAATGATTATACGTTATTTTTAAATACAGTTGAACTATCAAATCACAAGATCAATTTGACAACAAAATTAACAATATATAGTAAAAGAAAATGATCTGTATATATGATTTTAACCCTATTTATACAGTAATTTCTTCGGTAAGATTCTCCGAAACATATATACAGTCGTGTAGTACGTAATTAAGTATAAAACTGATTTGTACGCCTTAATATTTTTTGGTTTATATGTACTACCATGTTCCAATTAACGCAGCAATTTTATCATAAACGTACGTACAGTACGTACAGTACGTACGTGAGTGCATACAGTATATCAGTGGTTCATCTTTGTACATTTTAGCCATTGTTAAAATTCCTTTTATGAGCCTAAAATTAACTGTCTATTCACTACTCTAGAAGAGTACATGTCGAGATAATATTATTATGGCCATTCAAAAAAAAAAAGTTGACTCTAAATCTGCCCATTTGCGTTACATGTTAAGTAATACAAAGCTACATATTTGTACGTATAATGAAAGATTGGAGTTTTCTATTATGTTTGTTCCATGCGTCCAATAAATTTCCGATGTTTTTTTGTCACAACCTAGACCGTTGAAGATCTTGCTTATTATTATGTCAAGTCAATCAGTGTTACAACCTTCTTTAATCACATGCTTTGTAAACCTTATCGTGCTGCTTTTTCAACTAACCAACCAGATATTTTTAGTAACCATGTAACAGTAAACAGTAATAGTAAAATAAAAACATTGGCGTTAGTAGAAACATAGCAATTCAAGAACGACGAATAGAATAATGCTTCTGGTTATGTGTGAAAGAGTTGACTTCGAATTAGATACGTAAAAAAAAAAAATAAAGGTAAACTCGAAAAGTTTTATTAGTTTTATTTTGCCATTTGGTGAGTGCAAAACTTGTCCTGATCCATGTGGCCTATTTTCATCCTTTAATTTGGATTTTTGGATGGTTTAGATCACTATATTTATACCAAGTGAGTTTTCTAGACGGATCGGATCGCTAACATTTGTGTTCTCTATTTTTTCGAATCCTCTTAATATGGGTGGGTGAACCCTCTATTTGTCACAAGTGACATGTTTTATATGCCACGCTGTGATAGAGTGTCACATTAGGGTATTCAATAAACTAATTGATCAAAACTTAGTTAGGGTCATATAGATTTTTAAAGGGTTATTTCACATATGAATTTGTACTAATTTAGGTACATTTTCTACACAACCAACAAACAAAATTGTATATGTTTTTTTTTTAAATGTAGTTCTTGACTAGCTCTACACTGTAATAGAACCGGTTTTTTGATTAATTTTTATTAATAATTAACATAGGTTATTAAAAAACCGGTTCTATTACAGTGTAGAGTTAGTCTAGAGCTACAGTTTAAAAAAAAATATGGTACATTTTGTCTGTTAGTTGTGTAGAAAAATGTATCTAAATTAGTACAAATTCATATATAATTTATACGTGAAATAACCCTTTAAAAAATCCGAACTTAATGACCCACCCTACCTAACTATGTTTTAATTAATTAGTTTATTGAACACCCTAGTGTCACATACACCGAAAGAGATCACGAATTCACTTACTGATACTAGGGATGGGCAATGTAATAAAAATTTGACCCTTACATATTTTATAAATTATTACATATTATATATTAAGTAATTTATCATTAAGAGTTATCGATTACAAATAACTATAACTTATATCAATTATATACAAATAAACTATAAAATAAGTATATACAGAATTGTTTATATTAGTTAAATAAAATGATCAATCGTTTGAACATTAATAACATATTTACGTATCAGTACAATATAAAGTTGGCCTTTACCAAATTTGCAAATTCGACATTTGCTTCGTGAACTTCCAGCTGGTTCTACTGGCCATCTGTTAGGCCCTTTTGGCAAGCTTTCATTCGTTTAAAACTAATAAAAGGCTTAAAGTCGAATGTATATTTTATAATCCTGATAAGCCTATATCTGGTTCTGCAACAATAATGGGTTCTCATATTCATTCATCACAATGTAATAAACTTACAAATGATCGTGCAACAAAAATAAAATATATTTGGTAGCATATTGCACAAGAAACAATTCACATCATATTGTTCAAAATAAAGAAAATAGGCTTTATCAAACTATTCAAACTAATACAGCTATTCTAATAAAGTAAGTCTTGAAAATTCTATATTGAATGTTTAATTTAATGATATGGAAAATAATAACAATATTTGGGAAGAACAATTTGAAGAAAATGTAATGCAAACAATTGAAAATATAGATAATTTTAATACTAATAATCAAATTATATACAGTATAATGAAGCCATAATTCAATCCTCTATTCAAGCTACGTATAATATTCAAGAAAGCCTTTATAAACCTGATAGATAATGTTTTCATTAATGGCTATCCATTTGCTGTACTAAATTTAGTACAAAATACTGAATTTAGTACAGTCATTAAATTTAAATTTTGAAAAATTTTTGTTATTAACTTTAAATTAAATTTATATAATATATAAATAAGTATTTATATTTTAGTTTGGTATATTTAAAAGTTAGCT